AAAAAAAAAAAAAAAAAAAAAGACCTTGGACCGAACTTCTCAGCTTCTACATCTATCAAATGAGGCCTGAACAAGATTTTCTTCAGGGTCCATGCCACTTTTGTGACATTTTTTGCATACATTGTTCCCTCAGTATCTACGAAAGATGGTTCCAGGACTCCTTACTCCCAGATATCAAAACCAGAGGATGCTCACATATTTATATAAAATGGTATAGTGTACATATTTGCATATAACCTACATATATCCTACTATGTACTTTAAATCATTTCCAGATTATTTATAATACCTAATACAATGTAAATGCTATGTAAATAGTTGTTAGACTATATTGGTTTTCATTTGTATTATTTTTTATTTGTGTGGGATTTTTTTAATATTTTCAATCTGTAGTTGGTTGAATCCAAGAATTCAGAGCCCAGGATATCAAAAGCCAACTCTGTATGTGTGTGTTTGTGTGAGTGAGTGTACACATTTTAAGTGTGACATTAACCCTAAATAACATTTCATGGGAAGTAAAAGTATAAGAAGTAGGTATTTGTTACAAGTTACAGGAGGATTCATTATTACCTAAGGACTGCATGAAAGCCTAGGTTCTTAGGGATTACACATCATGTCTACATTTAAGGTTGTCAAGCTTAGACTAAAAGTGAGACAGAAAGACAAGATCCGTTCTCAGCCAATAACCTAGCTCCTTTAAAAACTCTACTCTGTTTAAAAGCAGAGTATTTTATATGTGCATAATAATTTATCAAATAAATAGAAAAAACTCATAATTTTTTAAAAGATTAGAGGAAATACAGCAAGAGTTAATATAACTATTTCAACAGGTGGCATAATGGGTAAATTTTCATTTTTCATGAAAAAAATCAGCATAAAAGGGCTGCAAAGAAGTGGGGACAGGGTGCTTCAGACAGAGGAGAGTTGAGAAAAAGAGTAATTTTCAAAGGATGGAAACTTCATGCTGACCTTGGCGAGCACAGAAGACACACTGGGATCAAGGATCATGAGATGAGCAGAGAAGGAAGATCTCAAAGGACTCTGTGAACCAGCTAAGGAACTGGCTTTAGAAGATTTTAAGGACATAAAGACACAAACATGAGACTTTGGGAGTGTTAGTGAAACTTTGTCTGTATCCATTTTATGGGGCTGACTTGAAGCCCTCTCTTTAGGGAGTGGTTAAAGGGGGAAAACTTCACAGATAAGAGTAAATTCCCTTTCAGTCATAGCATCCATGTGAAACTGAGTGGCATAACACCCTGAAAATGCCCAATCTTGTCTTCAACCAGAATTGAACCAAGGGCCAAAATACTCCCCCAACCCTGATCTCATGCAGCCTTTAATTGTTTGAATATAAATTGTATATCTTTACCATGTTTCCCCTTATGTTGGGATAGTGAACAATTACTTTGCTGATCAGAGTAGACTTTGAGTCCCAGGAAGAAAGAGGCCACACGTCCTACTCATTATTGTATTTTCACCTGCTCTTCCTTCTCCACCATTTGTTTTCTCCCTTCCTTAAACATAGCAGTTTCTCACCAGTTTGTTCATTAAAGTGAATCTAAGCTTTCTATCCAATGTTAAATCTGATGTTTACAAAGAAAGGGGATAGGAAGTCATATCAGAAAAGGCCCTGAGGGCTGTGTGTGGTGACTTACACCTGTGACTCTAGCACCCTGGGAAGAGGTGGCAGGAAGATCAGGAGGATTACTTGAGCTCAGGAGTTCAAGGCCAAGCTTAGCAGAACTGAGACCCCATCTCTACAAAAAACAGAAAAATTAGCTGGGCTTGGCAGCATATGTCTGTAGTCCCAGCTACACCAGAGGCCAATTCAGAAGGATCACTTGAGCCCAGGAGTTTGAGGTTGCTGTAAGCTAGGCTGATGCCACCACACTCCACCCAGGGCAGGAAAAAATAAATAAAATAAAAGGAAAAAAGAAAAAGGAAAAGAAAGAAAAAGAAAAGAAGAAAAACCCCTGAGATGTAATTCTTCTATTAGTCTAAAGTCAAAGGAGAGAGGGAAAAAAAAATCTGGTCCTGGCCACCTTAGCAAGGTTATGTGGGGTAAGGCATAATGGAAGACCTTTGTACTTAAGCCATCTTTTACCCAACCCTGCTTTTAGAATAGAACTGAACATAACAATCTGTCAGCAGCCTCAGGATGACATAAAAGGATGCTCTTGATGTTCAGCATTCCTAAATTCCTTCTTGTATTGTGAAAGCAAAGAGACCTACCATCTTTTCTTCCTAGTTTGAAGAGTCCCAAGGACTGCTTGTATTAAAAGCCAGTAACTCCATCTGATCTAAGAAGTTCCATTAATCACTAAGAATTTGAAAAGGCCCTAAAAAATATCTCTTAAGGTCCTATTTTTTAAGGTCTTTTCAATTGATGAATGCCAACTCTTGCCCAATTATTTTCCCTAACAATTTCTGCATGTAGTGCCTTCCTCAAAGTACCTACCCAACACATAGTCTATTAGACATCCCTTGAAGATGTTAGTTGTTTTAAGTAAAATTAAAGAACTTTACTTCCTAACCCCATCTCATACATTCTCGTACTCATCATTGTTCTACTCTGTTCAAGCTCAAGAGGAAAACAGTTAAAGACTATTCAGGTTCTTTTGGTCAGTGTTCGTTAATCTTTAAACAATCTTTGAGTTATCATCAAGAACTAAGCATGACCCAACTCATAACCTTGGTAAAGATTTTGGGCATCTTATATGATCTAGGCCAGTTTAATTTATGCCTAAATTAAATACAAAGCCATGACAGATACAGTCCCAATCCTATATTATTTTAAACTAAATCACTGTATTTGGCAGTCACTGACTGCTACTTAAATTGGCAATACTAATGGCTCCATCCAAAAGATGGAGTCATTAGGCCACCACTTAGGCAAGCATTTAGTAGCAAATTCATCATGGAGGACCCATCAGATTGCAGTTCTACTTAAAATGAGCTATTGTACTGGGCCAAGTCAGAGTTTTATTTTAAATAGGAACAATTTTTTCCCATTCTCACTGGGGCAGAATTAGGGTATCTCAATTGAGTCCCAAAGTGATAAGGAAGATTTAAAGTTCTTTATAGGCATCTTCTCAGCTGATGCATGTGGGAAAAAAGTTTGGGCCTCCTGGGAAGAGTAAAAGGCAGAGAGAATATTGGGAGCCTCCTTCACATGTGGCAGCAGCATAGCCAGATCTCAGACAAAGCAGTGCAGAATGAACAGAAAATTCAACCATGACTGCAATCCAGCACCAGTCACAGCTCACTGAAAATGCTTGATATTTATCAAGAGAATCTAAAGGACTTGTTAACTGATCCTTGTCTGCAGTCTCAACACTGCACCTATATTAAGACAGATCCAAGGAAGGAACATCTGATTTGGTCTTGATGAGAAACATGTTTATGAGGCTGTGACTGGCTGTTACACACTCATCCTCTCTTATCTCAAGGTCAAGACTGGGGAAGCCCATTTAATCAGCCATTACATTGACTGCAAAAACTCTGAAGATTTTGTCCAAGGTGTTACCCAATGTCTCTTTCACGAGGACCTGTATGATAAACTCCTCTTGAGTAGTCAAACTCAAAATAAAGAAAACACTATAACTTGAGTGATTTCCCATTTTACCCCACCCATCATAAAACTCAGTGTCTACTCAGAGTGATTTTAAAAAGATCATCTATAATACCTGATTTACCGCCTTTTAAATGGTCTTTGCTTGATTTTACCCTTTAATTACATTGTACTCAATTTTGCACACTACTTTAAATTATGTCCTAGAGACAAGATGTATGAAACACACCATTAATATACATCTTTCCCAAGAAAAGCTTACCTGACCGTTCAATAAAAAAAAAAAA